TATATAATACGCAAGAGGCGGTAGTTTTTCGTTTTCAAACATATGATAGTTTTTCATCAAAGTTAAATGATACAAAAACATATTGCATGTGAAGTATCGATATTGCATGTACATTTAAAAATTTATAATAAACAGAAATGACAGCACGTGCAATTTTACAAGGTACAATGTTTAAAATACTTTAAATATTTTTAATAAAAATTTCGCGGTCTTTTATAATATGATTCATATATATATAATATGTATATAAAATTCTTCATTTTTGTAAATGGATAATTTTTTATGATAATTAATATCTCAAGCAATGTTAATATTATTAATTATGTTTTTATAGTCTTTGATCAGTACCAAAAGGCTCGTCTATTTTTTGTTCAATCCATTGCTGATTTTTCTTCAAAAACAAATACTATAGAATGTTTAGAAGCTGCTGGAGTTTTGGATCTCATAAACCCTTTACTAACAGATCCAATACCATCTATTCAACATACTGCTGCAATTGCATTAGGAAAAATTACAAATAATAGTCATAGATTGGCACAAGCTGTTATAAGAATGGATATTTTACCTCAATTATTGAAGAATATTACTAAACAAAATGTATGAATGTAAGCATTTTAGCTATGGAAAACTGTATTTTTTTTTTTTAATAGAAATTTTTATATTTTAAAATATAATAAATAAATAATGGAGACATATTGAAATATATTTGTTATAGAAATTTTATAAAAAAGCAGCCCTATTTGTTTTACGAGCAATTGCTAGACATTCCCCAGAATTAGCATCTATGGTGATTCAAAGCAATGGATTGGATACTATAATAATCTGTTTAGAAGATTTTGATTCTGGTGTTAAAGAAGCTGCTGCTTGGGCATTGGGATATATTGCTAGGCATAACAAGAGTTTAGCTCAAATCATAGTTGATGCAGGTACCTTATTCTATTAATTATCTGTATTTTAGTAGATTGTACATCAACTATATTATTTATAGGAGCTGTTCCACTTTTGGTTTTGGCCTTGCAAGAACCTGAATTATGTCTAAAACAAATTAGTGCATCTGCTTTATTTGATATAAGCAAACATAATACTGAACTTGCAGAAATTGTTGTTGATGCAGGAGTCATTCCTTTTCTTGCAAAGGCATTATCTAATCCTGATACTAAATTAAAGGTGACATAAAGCATTATATAGTATGATTTTATAATATAATATTTTGCTTATTAATAATGTACACAGCGTCAAGTTCTTTTGGTACTAAGCAGTATAGCAAAACACTCTGTACACTTAGCAGAATCTATCATTGAAGCTGATATTTTTCCTGATATTCTTGTACACATGGCACATCCTGATGAATGTATTGTTAAAGCTGCTGCAATGTTAACCAGAGAAATTTGTAAACATACATTAGAGGTAATAAAATCAAACTTTAATTTATTTTGAATGTGTTACATTATACAGTTATAATTACATTTTTTTCAGATGGCCCAACTTATTGTGAATATTGGTGGTATTGGTGCACTTGTTGAATTAATTAGTACCTCAAAGTTAACAGTCAAATTACCAGCAATAATGGCAATTGGATATATTGCCGGACATTTAGATCAGTTAGCTATTGCAGTTATAGGATCTAAAGTATGATATTTCAATATACTTGTTATGATACTATAATAAAAGCAGTTGAGAGCAAATATTTTATTATAGGGAGTTGTGCACTTATCTGCTATATTACTTGAAGAAACTGATGATCATATACTTGCTGTTACTGTATGGGCAATTGGACAAATTGGAAAACATACATCAGAACATGCAAAAGCAGTTGCAGTTGCAAACATTCTACCAAAATTATTACAAGTATGTTAGACTTGCTTTTTTAAATTGCTACTATGTTGTTTATTGTTCATCATTATTATTTTATAGTTTATTTTTAGCTTTACAATAATCCAAATAGTTCAGAAGATCTTAAAGCAAAATGTAATACAGCACTGAAACAGATATTACAAAAATGCATGTATATTGAAGCTTTAGAACCTTTATTGCATGAGTCACCACCTAATATTCTAAAATATGTACTTGGACAATTCAGTAAGGTAAGGAACACAATTTTATGTTACATGTAACTCTTTACTTTTTTGTACATAATCTCTATAAATTGTACACAAGATGTACAAATTGAAACATAACAGTACAATAATTGAAATAGTATTTTTATTTATAATTTTCAATTAAAACAAAACATTTATTTTATAATTTATCATATCTATACAATAAGATAAATTATATCACATATGATAAAATTTACCTAAATGATAGAGTTTGTTATCACATAAATTTATTATTTAATAATAACTTTATCTCTTTTATTTAATCACATAATAAACATATACATGTATTATATACACATGGACCATTATCAAGTTATTTGAAATTGCTTTACTGAAAAATTAGTCAAGCAATTGTAATGGTTTATTCTTATCACATACAAACTATTATCCCATAAATAGTACTTTAACAATTAAAATCGCCATTTTATGACATTATCTTGACCTTGTACAATGTAATTTTATACTTTAACTCTTTCAAAATTACATAAGATATAACTTTGATCTCTTAACATGGTATGAAATGTCACATACTTGTATTTAAAAGTAACAGTTCCGATATGCTGTATATCATTGCATTTGTCCGATATTTGATTGATAGAAAGTGAAGAAATTGACAATGGCGTAATTTTAACTATTTTTATTTTTAATGCTTGTCCATAAATATTATGGCACATACTATACTCTGAAAAGCACATTTCTCAGTCTTACGACAATAAATGGTTCGACTAAAATACAAGAACGATTGAATTGTTAAGTGCTTATATAAAAATTTTAATTGCAATTTTAAATATTTGAACATATTTTTTGTTAAGTTATATTACTTGCATTTGTTATATTATATATTTGTATGAATTTTCTAATGGCAGTATTTGATATAAAGAGACCAGTAATATAAAAATTGTAAATATAAATAACAAAAAATTGTTATTAAAGTTGCATCTCGAAAAAGTTGGCTACTGTTAATTTTTACTGAAACTGCATTATTAGTTTTTTATATACAGAAGAAATAAAACGTATCATATATATGATCGGCAGTATTACTTTTACTTCATTACAGATATTTTACTAATTTTTTATTGTATTGCATATCTGTTTTATTTTTCTTCCTTTGTTAAAACTAATAAAGAAAATGTATTCTGATAAAGATTGAAAAGAGATATGCATTAAAATAAACAATGGAAAATAGTTTCAATTAAGATATAATAAATTTTTACAGTCTCATAAGTTTAAAATCTTGAAAATGTCTACTTAAATTAATTTGAAATACATATAAATAGATATAATATAATAATTAGAATTTTATGATTTCACCAAAATTTTTGTTGTATGACAATATCAAAATGTAAAGCAATTAAGGCATATATTTGGTTCAGAGCATTCAATTTATCCAAGTATCTCTGAAAAATGAGAAACAAAAATAAAATTATATTATTCTATTATAATTATAATAAAAATAATTTAAAATGTAAATAAATGATTAATTGCTTTTTGTATAGTAGAAATTTAAATAATCTAAGAAAAAATCAATTTTTTATTGAAAAGAATAAAATTATGAAAATAAAATAATATATAACAATACTATAGATATAGTACAAAACATGTGTGTGATATAAAATATTCTATATTTTAATTAAAAAGTTGCTTTGTAAAAAATAGGTAAATAATAATTTGTGCTATAATTTTCATATTTATGACTTCTTAACATCATTTAAGGGACTTTATTATAAATAAATAAATTATTATTATTATTATTATAAATGGCCCTTTTAAATTCTTTATCAATTAATAATACTACAAAAGCTATTCAAATAAATTCTTTTAGTTACAAAGTACATAAAATCATGCTAGTAAGCACAAATTTATGATCTACATAGTCACCAGAGCAAACAGATCTAAACACAATATATGACAGTTGCACGTAATTTGAAGGCAAATATTTACCAAGATAATATCTTATGTAAGATAACCTTCTTTTTAACAGAAATAATTAACTAGTATAAAAATGTATTTAAAAAATTAAATTATATTAATTTTAATACTTATAATCATTAAATTGCATTTGATTTTTTTTACAAAGCAATAACAGTATTAATTCAATTGTTATCAGTACAAAAAATTAAATTTGGTCTTTTAATCCATTCATGCAATTAGATCATTCTTTTATTCATCATTATCATCATTAGGTTTAATACTAGCATAATTGTTCATATTTCTATTCACCCTTAACATTTTGAGAAAACTGCCTAACACAAGTATAGTCTTCCTGTGCCTTCTGAAGATTCCAGCATAAAGTTCTTCACGTACATCTCTTCTATCACTTACGTCAGAATCAATACTTGATACAGAAACAACAGAAGGTTTTGCAGAGACCGGTTGATGATAATTATTGGTCTCGCCAGAATTAAGAATAACACAATGTTGATTGTTTATCATGTCTATTATTAATTTTTTACTTTCTTATTTAACGTTAAATTAGAGTCCTTTATATCCACTTAAATATTAATGTCTTATACTACAATACATGGCCTGTGAAACTTCTGTAATTATACTGTACGACTCTGATAAGTTAGCTCCTTATAAATGACAGACTTTTGTGTTAATCACATCAGAAATATTTGCTAGAAATCTTAGGTATAGCACCTCTTAATACACAATACACTTTAGTTTTTGTATACAATGATATCATCTTCTTTTGTCACTCATATTCTTATATGTTTAAGGCATTTGTCTTCTCTTATTATCTTGTACTTGCAGTATTTTAAATCTTATAATAATCTTTCACCTTGATTTTTATCTTTGACATTCCATTAAATTTTTTTTCAGATTTTTTTAAAATTATTTTATTAAGATCGTTGTATTTAGAGCATTATTGATGTTTCAATCTTCTTCTTCACATTTCTTTTATATATTTCTACGTATATATTTTTAAAAACTTTTTATTATTTTATAATAAATTATTTTAAAATATTTCAAAAATTCAAAGATTTTAATTTTTGATATATAGTGATTGCTTGAGATTAAATTTTATTAAAAAATTGTATTTCGTAATAAAAGAGAATAAATAGCAATGATTCAAGTTTAATCTTGAAGGTAATTATTAAAAAAAAAAGCGATCTTAAACTTTCTTCTGTTCCCTCAGAGGTCGGTGTTTGATGCCATACTGAACCAGCTGAAAAAATTTAATAATTCGTATTGAATTATGAATAATAATAATAATGCTTATAATGATAAAAACTCATTCAAATACTAATAGAAATTTTAAGTTTAACGCGTTAAACACGTTATTCCACGACTTCGTTCTGAAATTTTGTTTTTGTAAGATATTTTTGACGACGTAGGAGGATGAAAAATGTGGACGGAATTGGCTTCGTCTATAATATGTTATGCACGATGTTATATTGTAGCAAATTTTTTTTATATCATAGAATACATTATTAAATGTTGCGAAAAATGTGCAAAAAATACAAAAATCAATTTTATATTATAGTTCATTATAATATAGGCATTAGAAATCATGAGATATTATGAAAACTATTTTTCAAATTCTGAATATCTTACTATAAACTTTATATATATGTAATATGCTGTATTAAAATTATAAGTTAATACTAACAAATAATTAAATAATAAGTTACATAGTATATACATATATAAAAAATATATATATAACCTTGTATATATAAAATATATATTTTTCTTACAAAATCACAAATTTAAAAAAGACATCTTAAATTATTTTAATTTGTTGCAAATTAAAACATTTATAAAAGTAAGTTTGCTTTAGACAATTGCATTATGTACGTTAGGTACAAAATTTTAGTCTTATTGTAAGATATATTGTAATATGCAAATCATACATTTAGTTAATAAAAATATTGATAATATTTAAAGCATTCAAATTTTTTGAAAAAGTTTTTTAACTATTTGTTATTTCTTTTAAATAGATTTTGCCTCACGATGCTAGGGCAAGAAGACTATTTGTAACATCTGGTGGTTTGAAGAAAGTCCAAGAAATTCAGACTGAGCATGGTTCAACACTTTCTGAATATATACAAATTATAAATTGCTGTTTTCCAGAAGAAATTGTCAGGTTGTGTTTCATTTCATAATGCATTTGATAATTATTTTGATTAAAGGTAATTCTAATATTGATAATATTCCAAGGATATGAGTTACATTTCTTAGGTATGTAATACGTTAAATAACAACCTATTATAACTATAACAGTAATCATGCTTTATAATTTTCAAATTGTAATGCTACTTCAGCAAAACATTTATGGGTAGTTCAAAGCATTAAATCATTTAAAAAATTATTGTCTTTTCTGACATGATTTGAAATGTTAATCAATTGTTAATCAATTGTTAATCAATTAAAATATAAATGCATGCAGAAGAGCACGTACATGTACGCACATAATGATAAGAATAGATAATTATTAAAAAAAAAACACTAGTTGCTTTTGACATAACCTTAGTAATGATTTACTTACTAAGAGAATTCAGAAACGCTACTTCTTGTAAATGTAAAAAGTATAGTCTTTTCACAGTCGTTTACACGAGCAGCGAATGCAAATAACTGTAGCCTCGTTTCTGAATCGTGTGTCTGAATTTAAATCGGACAAATAATATACGGCATGACCGCCATGTTGTCACAGCTGATTACTTTGAAAAAATATAAACTTGGATTTTAATGGATCAATAATTTTACATGAACTCGATAATTAATAACATTTTGTAGAATAATTTATAGTATTTTATCTTCATTATCGATAGTTTGATTCAATGTTAAATTAATTTTACATAGAATCATAAATTTAGTTCATCAGATTTTGTATTATTGGATCTTATCGATTTAAAAATAATTGAATGGATATTCGTTTAATAATCATTATTTATTATACGAATTACAATCGCAATAGTTTTTTGTCTCTCGTTTTACTTATAATATGCATTCTTGGACTTTTTTGATTTTAGATATTATTCTCCTGGATATCCAAGCAGTCTTTTGGAAGCTGTGGAGCAGTATCAACCGAAATGCCCTTCCTTATTTGCAATGGAAGAACATTTATCTTCTGACATTGATTCTAAATCTTCGCTATCATCCTTTAACGAAGAAGGTTAAAGATTTATTTAGTTTGATTGCGGATTCGATATACGCTGTGATCACGTATGTGCGTTTGTTAAGATAACAGTGACAAATAAATCTGTTGCGAAAAGTTACGTTCTTTTATATTTAAAAAAATGTTTTTTAAATTTAAATTGAAGAATAGTTTGCAGTATCTTTTACGCGCTACATAATTTGCAGCTGCTCGAAAAAGTATATTTCATTGGTCGCCTCTGATATTTGGATATCTAGTAGAATCTATCTAGTAGAATTATGAAATCATTAAAATTTGCAAAAATCTAATCCATAATGAAATATACTCTCTTTATTCATAAGAATATTTATTCATAAGTCTAATTCAAAAATCTTTATTCATAAGAATATTTCGTAAAAGTGTTTTTATTTTTTTTTTTTATTTCATTTCTTATAAAACTTGAAATTAATCATAATTAAATGACACCTAAGATGTGGGATGTGAAGAAGTTTCAAAGTGTCAGGTCCAGTGGCGGCTCGCGAGTATAGGCACTGTGGAACTGCAGCATCCCCTATTTCTACTTGATATTATCGGTAACATTTAATATAACGAGCTGTCACTGGACCTAACATTTTAATACTTCTTCACGCCACTACGAATGAGGTCTTCTCTGTAACTAGTTTATGGTCCGTGGTACTGCTTTATCCACATGGTCAATCCATTATCTTAGAAATAAAGATCTGTACTGTTAAAATTATATTAAAAACGTTTGATCATTTAAAGGTGAAAATTGTACCGAAGTAAAAAATAATTAATTCATTATGAATAAACACAAATCAAACCAAGTGAAATTGATGAAAAATAAAAGTTCAAAAGAGAAATATATTCCTTCCAAAGCATTGTATAAACAAAAATACACTACACCTTTAAAAAGAAAAACGCGCAAAAATGAATATAATGCAGAAGAAGAAGCCAGGTAATTATAATGATAAGGTTAATATGAAAAAGTAATTTCAATTTCTTTAAAAGGTAAATTAATAATATTATAGGTTAGAAAAGATTGCGTTTGGTGATCCGAGTGGTATAATAAATAATATATTAAATAATGAAAATTTAGAAAATGTTAAAAATGATAATGATGTGTCTGTATTTGATAATGCAAGTAATGATTCGATTGGAGAAATAGAAATTTCTCAAGAATATTCCAAAAAGGCAGCATGGGTTGATGAGGATGATATTAAGTGTTCGTATGTATAAACCAAATTTAATGATAATGATAATAATAATAAATATGAATTTTTTAATCTTAAAAGTCAATTTATATCTTCTTCAGCATACAAGATGCTGCAAAAATTCAGAATCGTAAAATAGCTGATGTACCAGAAAAATTATATAAAGATTATTTATCTAACAAATACAAAAAGATTGTTGGTAATCCAAAATGGGCCAAACTTGAAAAAAGTGATGACTTGGATAATGAAATATTAAAGGTATTTAAGGTACCTTTATCATTTCAATGATTAATATATCTGAACGTATATTGTATTCTTTTAGCATAGTTGTCATTTGGAAAAACCTAAAGTAAAAAATTTACCAAAGAGCATAATTGATATAAAAGCACTGTCACCAATTAATAAAGAAACACATACTGAAGGACCTATTGTATCAAGTGTCGAATTTCACCCATCTTCTACAGTTGCTTTGGTTGCTGGTTCTTCTGGAATTTTATCTCTTTTTCAGGTAATTATTTAAGACTCAATTACATTTGTATCTTTAGACTAAAGAACTCACCAAAATATAATTATAGGTGGATGGCATTGAAAATAATAAATTGCATACAATGCAATATGAAAAATTTCCTATTAGTACAGCGAAGTTTCTGAAAGATGGTACAGAAGTATTGATTGGTTCTCAATATTATGCACATTGTCATTCTTACAATTTAATGAGCGGAAAAACATATAGAATGCTATTACCGTCTGGACTTACTAATATACAGGTAAAAAATTATAATTCTGATTATTTTTTATATCATTTACATTTTTATTTATGTATAAAGATATTTACAAATTAATTATTTAGAAATATGAAGTATCCCCAGATGGAAAAATATTAGCCATTTGTGGGCGATCAGGAGAAATTTTCTTATTACATAGTTTGTCAAAAGAACTTATTACTACATTAAAAATGAATGCTAGATGCAGAGCATTAGCATTTACACCCGATAGTAACACACTGATTACGCATGGTGGTAAGTTTTTTACACTTTTTTTGTATTTTTTATCTAATATTGTATATTCTTTGTTTAATGTAAATTTTTATTCCTCTCTGAATTAAAGACAGTAATGAAATGTATATTTGGGATTTAAATAATCGTGTATGCATTCATCGAACTATAGATGATGGGTGTTTATCTTGTGCTTCTATTGCAATGTCTCCAAATGGACAATTCTTAGCGACAGGTAGTAAAGAAGGTGTGGTTAATTTGTATCATACTAAAACAGTGTTAGAAAGTCGGAATCCTGTTCCTTTAAAAACTGTTCTTAATTTTGTAACATCAATTACGAATTTAAAATTTAATCCGTATTCTGAAATTTTGGCAATAGCTTCAGGTAAAAGACATAATGGATTTAAAATGATGCATTTACCATCGTTTACAGTTTTTTCAAATTTTCCTACATATCAAACACATTTGTCAATGCCTGAAGCAATTGATTTTTCACCAAGTAGCGGTTATTTAGCAATTTCAAACAAGTCATTCAGTGCCTTTTTATATAGACTGAAACATTATCGAAATTACTAGACAACCTTTACTTGGCAAATTATTAAAAATTTTTTTTCAATGTAAATTAATATCTATAAAACCTAATTTAAATATGTAAATTAATATCTGCAAAACCTAATGTAAATATGTAAGAATAAGATGGACATTTAATAATTGACGAAAACAATATTTATTTTTTCCCTACACACACGCGCGCGCGCGCGCACGCACACACACACACACAAAGTAAGCCTTCATGTTACGTTAATTAACAAAATATTTATGATGGCCATCCTATTACAATTAATTGATAGCAATAATAGTAATAGTGATAATAATAATGATAGTAATGACGTTTCTTATAGAAAACTTTAGTAAAGAACATTTGTTATAAATTTGATTAGGAAAACATTATTAAAAATAATAGCTAAATTAGATATTCTTTTTTGTTTATGTTTGACAGAATCTTCAAGTTGTCGCTAGTAATTTGCATACCATGTATATAAAACTATGGATTAATATTTTTCTTACTATTTTAAATGAAAAAAAATAATATGATATTATTATAACTATGTAAAATCCACTGTAATTCTGTTTTATAAAACATCAATTTGAAATGTGAATGTGTGTAGGAGATGAATGTATGATTCATGAAACAGAAATTAACATTTCAAAATTTCATTTTCAAGACAGTTCGATAGTATTAAATTTTAGTACAAAAAAAAAGTGAAGGCAAAAAATTGAAAATGGTCTATAGGCAGAAGAAAAAGGAGATGGTATATATAAATAACATTCATAAAAGCGTAATTATCTCCTTTGGTCGATAATATAAATTTATATAAAAAAAAAATATTTATAAAAGTATATTTTAGCATGCGTGATACATATGTATAAACGCGAGTGCATGTACATACTTACTCATGTTTCTATATGTTTAAAGTACATAAAGTGTACATATACACGTTCTTATTTGTTTTTATAATTATTTGATTTATAATCCTTCACTTGTATTTAGTATAATTTTGAATCTTGATCTTTAAAAATTTCAACTTTCATGTAAATTTACTTACACACTTAATAATATATCGTTTCAACTTAATTCTTGTGTACATATAAAATATTTACTACTATATATACAAAACTTTTGACTTCTCTGTCATTAAACAAATTTTTGTTAAGTCTTCGTTTCTTCTCTCAATTTCGAAGTTTCTAAGTTAGTTTGTTCAGTTTCTATATTACTTTGGTGAATAGGTGTGAGGAACACTAGCTATTGGTCCCCAGCAGTTGTAGCAAGAGCACTAGTATCTCCACTACTACTTTCAACTATAAGCATTACAGTTTCTGCAGCACCTCTTACACATTCCACTTGATGACCTGCCCAATCTTTACGTTGACAAAATGTAGAGCAATAAGGGGTTCGTCTACATAATGAACATTCTGCAAATGCTTCTCTATTGCAGTTGGCACACTAAAAATAATCAAGTATCATAAAAAGAAAATGAAAGACATATGTATATGAAAACAATTCATTACAGCAATGGTTCTAGCAATATTCTCTACCTTTTTATTATGAGTATCTGATGCTGGTTGCAAACCAACAGTTTCAATAACATCTCCTCTACCACCTAATTGTGCCACTAACGCTTGTTCCCTTCTTTGTTGTCTGCTTACTTCTTTAGCTTCTTCCAAAATGCGCCTAAATTCATAAGCCAACTTTAACATTTTATTGGACATCTCATCGAGTTTTTTAAACATATCGTCGCTTTGTCCGTTTTCCGTTTGATGTACATTTTGGACAACAGTGTCTTGATCTTGTGGCTGTTGTACAACTAAACCATCCGTTGAAACAAATTGAGGCCATACCTCCTTATCAGGTACTACAACTTCACTATCACTTTCATCATTATTACTACCGTCACGAGAATTATCACTTTTAAGTTTGCGGGATGGTGTTTCTCCATCAGATGTGTCTCTAGCTCTTCTTCTACGTTTGTATGGTGTAAATAATCTTACAGGGCCTGTCTAAGATAAAAGAAAATATGATAATTAGATGAATTATAATTATTAATTGTAAAATAATATAATATACTAACTGCACTATCATCATCACAACATGCTGCACAAGTGCAAGAGGTAGCATGTGGTTTTAAAATTTGTTCATCGATTAATGTTTGCAAACTTCTACCACCAAATCTAATACTGCGTTTCCAATCTTTACTAGATGCTCTCCCACAGTAAGCTTCAAATTCACTTGGTGTGTACCACTCTTGTCCAAGTTTGATACATCTTCCTCTTCCACCAGATCCAAATCTACTTTTATGCAATTCTGCATTTGTATTTTTACATCTAACAGGTAATACTGCTAAATTAGCGGATTCTGACCAACTGCATATTGGTTGAGTATTAGGAGTAGAAACATGAATTTGTTCAGATTCTGGCTCTTCTGTACTATTTTGGATTACTATATGCGTTGCTTTTAATTCACCGTTCCAGCGTAAAGAATCTGTGTCCTTATCATGTCGTGGTTCACAAATAAAACCATTGTCCACACATAGCATCTGCTTAAACTGTCCTGATCCAGGTAACTACAAAAAAAAGAAAAAATGAAACATATATAATTACACATTTAACTGAAAACCTAATATAGAAATTGTGTTAATTGTGTATACAGAAGCATAATTGTAAAAAGAATGTGTATTTAATATCTTATAGAGTATATGGACAGGCGCATTATAAGCGTGTTAATGTTGTATACATTGTGCATGTAGCTTACACGCGTACACCAAGAGTAAAACCCCACCTTTTTCAGTAATTCTTTAACAAGAAAATGAATGAAAATCGCCAAAGGGCCAATTACGTGCTAGAATTGTATCAAGACAAGTTCAATGAACATTCGATTGTTTCAAGAACCAACCTGTAGTTGGTCTGATGTGATGACGTTGAAGGTCGTGCCGTTGGTCGAATTCGCTACACCGATGATAGAACCAACGGGTAAAGAAACCGGTACACCGACTCCTGGAACACCTGGCACTGGAGTGACGCTCGCCGTCACGGCGACGGTATGCTCCTCATGCTCGACTTTTAAGGCAGACGCATCCTCGGTTTCGCTCGTCAACGGTTCGGACATGTCCGGTAGCACGGCGACACTTTCCGATGTTTGACTCTCCTCCATTTCGGCTGTTCTCGCCTCTCGCACACACTATGGCGTCAGCGCACGCTCAACACAGCGCCACAATTTTTCTACCTGCGATTACTCGCGATCACACAACTTCGAGTTTACTCGACATGCTTCCAAGTTAACCGCAATCAAGTCTAGAAACGGTTCTTCAATCACCGTGCCATTATTATTTTCTTCCGTCTTACGGCAGAATCTTTGTTTCCTTTATATAAATTAATAGATACCTATGTACATATATGAATCTCCGATATCGAGTGCCATCTTTACATATTTCGAGCAAGCGCTTGGTTTAAATTCCGCCCGATATATTTCGACGATTTTAACCAATGAATTTTCCTTGATATATATCATACTTTAATTAATCACGGCAATTTCTATGGCATATAAAGTAAATTTAATTGTGAATGATCTGCTTAGAGACATGATTTTTCTAACCGTTTATTTTTATAGGTATGGATTATTGATTTTAAATAAACCGTTACTGCTAGAGTAGAAGGTTATAAGCTAGATTGACATATTCATGTATATACGTTGATTTGATTATTTCCTAATTATAATATTATTATTTGTTGTCTCATTGACGTTGCTCATATATTTAAATAAAAAGATATTTTGAATTTTTTGTGTTTATTCAATGTCAGATGTATCATCGTTCGTAAGTATTTAGATATTTTGATCGATTTATAATAACAGTACTTGATTTGATCAAAACCTCTGCAAATTCTCGATAACTAAATACGATAACTGAATGATCGATAGTTATAGAAGCAGTTTCACTGCCCTTTTATAAAATCAAAAGATCTTAAATTTAATTTCTATTTTTTCTTTTTTTTGTAAAGATGTTGACCATTATTGTTTTATAAGCATACTTTAGACCATGGAGAAATAATTGAAAAATCGCGTAAGTAGAAAGTTCGCTTTCTTGCTCGCCGCTTTTATCAAAACGTCACTTTATAGAAAACGTGAGAACGAAGATGGTTCTTCAAACGTATCGTATTCGCAGATGAAAATGACAATAGACGTTTAAAGTAACGTTTACTGTGAAAGGAATGGACGTTTAAATTTGTAATTAAAGTCGTGAAAGCAAAAACTGTGTCTCGACTCAAGGGATAAACACAATGGATAGACCTGGATTAGAGATCTGTGATTTGTAAGGTATTCTGACTTTCCCTTAATTTGCTTAAAGATCGTCGTTCAACAATGATTTTAGCGTTTCCTTCAATTAAACCATGTAGCATTCAGACCGTGCATATCCTCTTATTTAAATATATCAGTGTCACAGTCTTTCGTTTTTGTTAGTTGAAGAGCTGTCGTTGCAGGATCAACATTTCATTGAACTTTTTGCATTTCTTTTCTTTTTTCTTTTTTTTTTTTTCTACGAACACAATTTATTAGAATTTTCTTTCATGCTTTCTCCTCTAAAGTTACTACGTTGAATGTACATTCGCCCGATAATGTCCAGATATTATATGATTACGTTACTGTTGTACTTTTGTATAAATATCGACGCGTGGAGTTCTTTTAAAAGATTTCGACATCTTTGGCAACCAAATATTAATCGCGCGAACGAATCGTTATCGCTCGAACGTGATTCTCTAAAGAATAAATTACAGTCGATTAATTTTCAAACTAGTGCACCAAGTCATGGTGGCAGAGAAAAACGACGTAAGTATATTTTACAATTGTCCAGAAGTATATGGACATTTATTTATTTGTAAGAGATTGACATTTAAGGAGTCCATTATCCTCAACACAATTAATTATTAAGTTGTAGGTAAGATAGAGAAGATGTTGAACGTATAAGGTTTTGATTCATTAATTTATTGTAACATTAATGCAACATTTAATTTATTGTAAAACATACAATTGAAATTCGCATTATTCAATTTTATTTTTTTATCAACGTATTTATGAAAAGGAATTTCAAGAATTTGTTTAACATTTCCTTTCGTCAAGGTACTTTATTTCCTATGTTTTAAACAAATATATTATAATATAATATATTATTATTATTTATAATAGTATATAATATAGTATATAATATAATAGTATATAATTTTAATAGTATATAATATAGTATATTATATACTATATTAAATTTATAATAGTATATAATATAATGTTATATAATATAATATTATTATATATAATATATTATATAATATAATATATAATATTTATATAAGTAGTTAGTAGTAGTATTTATATAGTATATAATATTACTATATAATATATAATATATAATATATAATATTTATATAGTATATAATATAATAATATTATATTATTTATAATAGTATATAATATAATATATTACGATAATTTAAATTTTATACACTCATTGATTCCATGAGAAGATAATAAGTATTATTGTTTTACCATTGATCTATATATTTTGGTAACTTTCACGTACTGTTAGTGCAACTTGACCAAAATGTTCATGCCTTTGTAAGTAACAATATACATACTTTTTTTTTTATTGCAGTAGAATAATGTATTTCATTTATCGCCTCTAGTTTTTCCATTATTCACGTTGGTGAAATTCGACAATAACGTTTGCGCCGGATTAAATGGTGAGAATGGTACCTGTATCGCGGGCTCAGAATGTTCGCAACGTGGTGGTATATCAAGTGGAGTTTGTGCAAATGGTTACGGCGTCTGTTGCATTGGTACGTTATATTTTTCTTTCTTGCACCAAGTACTATTAACAATTCCTTTGTTTTTCTTCTATCTTCGATTCAGTGACAGTATCTTGTGGCGAGACAACCAGCAATAATAACACATACTTCGTTAATCCGAATTATCCATCGACGTTTGATGGCACCGTATCTTGTCAATTAACTCTCGTTAAATCCCATCCAAGCGTGTGTCAATTTAGGTAGGATACTTCCATATCGAATGTAGTTCTTTAGAATCGGTAAAATCAAGTATCGCCGACAGATATATATATATATGTATATTTTTATAGATTGGATTTCATACAGTTCAACGTAAGAGGTCCGGAAAAGACTAACCATCAGTGTATCTATGATCAATTTATCATTTCTGGAGGTAATCCGGTACCTACGATATGTGGAAGTAATGCCGATAATCATAGTATGTAACGATTCCATGTATGAAGTCTATTTGTAGATATCCCACTTATATATAGTTATCATTTTTTTTTTCTTTTTTCCTTGCAGTATATATCGATGCTGGCCTCGGACAAACAAATCCTGTTACGTTAACATTTGTTACAAGCGGGAATTCTTTTGCTCGATCTTGGAAAGTACGAGTCTCCCAAATTCGTTGCAATACTATATACAGAGCCGAAGAAGGATGTCTGCAATATTTCACTGGGATATCCGGCCAGATAAAATCGTTCAATTACGATCCTGTCACAGGATTGCAATTGTCGAATCAAGATTACAGTATTTGCATCCGAATGGAAAGAAACTTTTGCGGTATCCAGTACATGACGTGCCCGGTCGATGATAAAGGAGGTAATCCGCGGATAAATTGTATTGGAAGAACACGAGAATCGTCGAGGGGGGATTTTTCAGGAATTACGAATCGAAAAATAACAAAACTAATATCCGATCGGTATCTTTACGATTCAATAACATGTATATCTTAATATTTTGTGAAATATTATAGATAGTACCAGTATGACTCAAATGACACGTAGCCATGCATTTACGTTAACCGGAAATACGCAAGCAATGCAGATAGCATCGATGACAGGAGCAGCCTGTCAAACCGACTGGTTAACGATCCCGTGCGCATCCAATACAGGTCGATTACCAACCACTATGATGACTTGCATCGATCGAATATGCGGTGGGACGTTTAACGCAGAAAATCAGAATTTGAACACATCTTCAGTTATTAGTAAGTAATTATGATATTTTACACATCAATTTCTAATAATACTTGTACCGTAATAGAATCTTTAATCAATCCAAGCCATATTTCTTCTAAATGTGAATTTATAACATTAATTTCCAATTAGTTTCTAATTAATCTATCAAGCTGTATTAATCGTAGAAAAGTAGAGGAATTCATTTTGGATTGATGTATTTATAAGGCTGTAAAACAATGTTTGTTTCGCGCTATCATAAACGTATCTTGATTGTCAGGTACTGTGAAACCATTTAGATTAATTTTCCACACGGATAGCGTTGAAGCGCCAAACGATGTCGGAAACAGGGGATTTTGTTTGAATTATGTACAACAACCTTGCACGACGAAATTAAGGTAATTGGCTTCTTGTATTGTCACAATCGCAATTTAGAAGAGACTAAAGGAAAATGAATAATAGCACAATTAAATACAGAATTAAGTACAGAATCTTTGAACCTTTATTCGCACATATTTAAGTTGGAAATCAAATCAAATAATCGACGCGTATTAATCGGTCTCGGTATTAATGAGGTGTACAAAATCTTCATTTTTACAATTTGGTTTTGCTTTATTTTTATGATTTGTTGATAATGAATTTATCATTTAACGAGTTTCATACAGAAAACATGCTCACAAATTTAGTATTAAATTCTCGATGGTAATAACGGAACGAAACAAATTTATGTATTTGAAAGAGGAATGTTAATATCGATAGAAGAAATGCAATAATCGCATTTGCAAATATACCTGTCGGTTATTTCCTATCAAAGTGACCGAAGAGATTGTCTTACATATCAATGAAAGTATATTAAGCAGATATAGATTATTAGATATATTAGATATATCGTACGAAAATCACAGCAGAAAAATATGATAAATATTCAATCTCACGCATGTAACATAGAGGTAGATTCTAAATTTTAATTAATTGTGTTTAGCGAATTATTGAAAAAGCGATAATTAAATTATTTCTGTTCGATCGATCATTAGCTTTATTTAAGAACGACTTTGATATGTGTATGTAAATGGAAGTGTATATCATACGTTTCAAATTACTAATCTATTAAGTAATAGTAGTACGTATAGAGTGTAATTGTGGAAATTCGTTTCTCTTGTTCTTTTTTTGGTTTTCATTTTTCCAATGACAAGTCTAATCAGTTAAATGAGATGCTATTTTCACATAAGTATGCATTATTTAATGGGAAAGATTATCAATTAGATCAGGCCGTTTAGTTACAGGTCGTTAAAAATTCTCAGAAGAAATATATGAATACTGTTCATCATCACATATATTATATGTATAAGTATACAAGATGATTCATGTAATTGAAACAAATCGTACCTTTTTTTTTTTTTTATGGAATTTGAATGTTAGATAAAACAAGTGAACGGCATAAGAATCTTTGTTTCTTTACAATTTTAATTTTGATCCAATGTAAAAAGTAAAATTAGCCAAACAAAGTTCCTCATGCTATTCACTTAATTTTCTTTAACATTATTTTCTAACTCCAATTACGTAAATCACCCTACACATCTATCGATCGATCACTTTGACATTTAGTAGTTCTTTGCATCAGTAATAATAAATAAATACAGAGGGACATTGAGCATATGTACATTACTTACATATACATTAATCACAACATATGTTCAAACCGTGAGCCGTAGAAGAAAAAAGTTATGTATAAATACATATAATATTTATATCACGGGTGTGAAGTGAATTTCCTTTGTAATTCCGTCCAATAAAACGAAGATTACATTTCAAAGATTTATGTTCCTCTCCTCTTGGATTATAAAATTCTTATAAAACATTGCTTTACATTATACAACGTGCGCACGCGTGACATACATAAATAAACAAGTAAAATCAATGTATCACTTATTGTTAGTCTGTTTATATCGTTAGTATGTTTGCTTTCAACATATTCTAGGATCAATATTGATTGTACGTATATCAAAATTTTAGATCACAGTAAAACTCCATTTATCTAAACTCCGTTTTTTTTTTTTTTTTTTTTTTGGAACCTAATTAGTGAACACTTGTCGATTATACCCATTTATCTCAACATAAGTCATTATGTAAACGAAAAATAGTAGATAGTGAGTAGGTTGCATGCACTTATGCATCTATAAGAAATTCAAGGCTGCAAAAATGTATCGCAGTTTAAAAGTGAGGAAAATTGATGAACTCTTGACGAAAAAATGGAATTCTATCGCATTATATTGATATTCGACAACTTAATCCAACAACAAATTTACTAATACGTGTCTAATTATGGCTTGGAGGTTTTAGTGCATACAAAAAATGAATTATCCTAAATATTTAAATATCATCAAACTTACATTATTTTGATTCAATTATTGAAATACAAATTTCGTATTAATATATAGTTAATTGTTATATATAGCCAACTGAATATTAATAGTTACCGAATATAATTGTGCCCAATATCATCCTTACTATTATTACAAAATACCGAATTATATTCTAAGTAAACAGTTTCTGTCAACTTTGTACATTTTAGATATTGCACAAGTCAATCATTTCCTAGTACGTCTAGGTCGATAATCATGTTTCATACGAGACCAAACAGATATCTGTCCTAATACTTATGAATAGTGGTGTATATGCATGATGTGTCATAAAATTGATCGATAGCTCGGATACAGTGATGTGGTAATGAGGTGCAAAATTCTTTGCTATAGTCGATGGATGGTGTACTATAAAAGTTCATGGTCGGTTAGAAAATCAATCGGGTGTAATCCATGGCGAGTAATCTGTTCTGGAGCCTCTTGTTTTCGTCAAATGTTTCCCCTCGTCGTTAACAATAAAATTAACAATAAAATATCCTTACCCCTTATCGAGCCGATTACGCACAGAGGATTGTAGATAACTTTGATGAAATGGTGGGCCGTTTGTTAGTTTCTATCAAGATATTAAGAGTCCTTTGCAGAACCTGCTTTTAGGAAATACGTCAACATATCGATAGGTAATGGGAATACGATCGTTGAATTTTTCTCGGCCGAGATGGTATTTAATGTCTGGAAGTGATTAGGAAAAAGAAACAGATAACGATTAGTTAATGATAACGCGCGTGAATAAAACTAAAACACGAATTACTAAATAATTAATAAATAAAATTAAAATACATACTTGCAAATAACGAAGTTGCAGTGCGGCAGGTGAATCACCGATCACCTCCGAGGCTTCTCTTAATGCTCGACTAGCTTTCTGCTCACCCTCTGCTGCGATAACCTACGCATTCATGTGAACTCTCATCATTTACCATCATCCACCATGATCAACGTTTGGTAAAAGAGGAAGAAAAAAGAAGGGGAAGAAAATCAATAATCAAGTCTATCAGAAGGGGAAAGAGAAACGAACCTTGGCACGAGCTTCGCGAGCAGCTTCAGCTTCTGCAGCCATAGCTCTTTGTAGCTGGACTGGTAATCGTACATCTTTTCTGTGGAAAAATTTACTTGTACATGTATATATGTATTATATATGTAGATACAAGTAAATATTAAGTCGTCTAATATATTCATAACGCAACACGTTTATACAGAATTACTTTTATTTCAGACAACCATAAAATATGGTACATGTATATATATATATAGTCTTAAAATATTGATGAAATTGATCCTGTAAGCATTGATCCGAATTAAATGGCTTTAAGTGGCGTGACTCTTGAATAATCTATATTGGTATTTATAGAGAAAATTGGAATGATTGAAGGGACTGAAATTGAAGCAGGCTTTTAAATAGAAGACGAGTAAACGGTATGAACTTATTGGACCACGTAATACTTATATAAATATAGCTTACGATCTGGTTACATAGCATCGGAGGCGTCCACTTACATTTCAACTCGTTCCACTTTGATCCCCCACGTGTCGGTAGCCTCGTCCAAGGAAACCTGACATTCGGTTTTTCATTTCAACATTCAAACGTCCGTATACGTGTTTATGTGCGTTCTCGTTCGATTCCAAATTGAGGTTCCAGATTACCTGCATGTTCCCGGAGATCGTTTCGCGCTCGCTGAGAATCTCGTGAAGCGGCCTGGTTCCCATTGTGTTACGAAGCGTTGTTTGCGCCAACAGTTTAGTGCTGTGATGAGCGTTCTCGACGTTTGTGATCGAAATCGTCGCGTTGTTCACTCGGTAGTACACTACCGCGTCGACCGACACCGTCACGCTGTCCTTGGTCAACACCTGGTAAAGATAATTAAATATAATTAAAAATGACCCATTATCTCGGATGAAACTTGTTCGAATTCGATTGGCTAAATCGTTGGATCGACGAGTTACCTCTTGAGGCGGCACATCGTAGGTCCGTGTGCGTAAATCGACACGAGCGTAATTGTCCACGCAAGGCAGAATGAAAAAGATTCCTAGAAATGGTAATCACGTGAAATGAATCATTCCGATATGATTGCTTGAAACTTGTGGATGAAAATTCGTTAATTAAATAATAAATACGATTTAATGGTATTTTTACCAGGTCCTTTAGCGCCGCCAGAAAGAAGCCTTCCCAGACGAAATATCACTGCTCTCTCGTATTCTTGTACCACCTAAGAAATTTATAGAGTAATAATAATAAAGGAAACATATTCATTTATTGACGCTATGTTTGTTGTAGATTTGTTGCAAGAACAAATGGAGAAATGTTAAAGGGTATGAACAGGTGTGTGTGATCGATCATCTAATTATAAAATAACCGGGGAAAAGAGGTTGTGAAAATGAATGGAGATTGTATAGTATTTGCGGCTGCGGAAGTAATAGTCGAGATATTTTTGGATGCGTACGATATGCAAAACAAAGTTGCTTTTTTTTTTTTTTTTT